GGAACTCTTTGTACTTTCTAAGCTCAATTTTGCTGTGAACCTAAAACTGCTCTAAAATATAAACTTGATTTTTTTTGAAAGATAAAATATGGAGTGATGGATATGTTCATTATCTTGATTGTGAGGATGGCTTCATGAGTATTATAAGTCTATCAAAACTTACCCTATTTAAGTATGTTCCACTTTAAGTATGTTCAGTTAGAATTGTCAATTGTACCTCAATAAGTCTGTTTACAAAAAAAGGAATGAAGTATTGATATATTCTACACCTTAGATGAACCTTAAAAACATGATGCTAAGTGAAAGAAGCCAGACACAAAGGCCACATATTATATGATTCCATTAATATGAAGTGTCCAGAATAGGCAATCCATAGAGATAGAAAGTAGATTAGTGGTCGCTGGGGCTTGTGGGGGAGGGGAATGGGGAATGACTACCAATGGGTATGGGGTTTCATTCTGGTTTGATGAAAATGTTCTGAAATTAGGTAGTGGTGTTGGTTGTACAATTCTGTGAATATACTAAAACCAGAGATTAAACACTTTTTCTTTTTTTTGTTTTATCTTTTAATTTTTAAAATTATTTTTAATTTATTTTTATTTATTTATTTATTTAAAATTTTTATTTATTTACTTTGGCTGTGTTGGGTCTTCGTTGTTGCGTGCGGGCTTTCTCTAGTTGTGTCGAGCGGGGGCTGCTCTTCGGTCTGGTGTGCAGGCTTCTCACTGCGATGGCTTTTCTTGTTGCGGAGCACGGGCTCCAGGCGTGCAGGCTTCAGTAGTTGTGGCTCGTGGGCTCTAGAGCGCAGGCTCGGTAGTTGTGGCGCACAGGCTTAGTTGCTCCGCGGCATGTGGTATCTTCCCGGACCAGGGCTTGAACCTGTGTCCCCTGCACTGGCAGCAGATTCTTAACCACTGTGCCACCAGGGAAGTCCAGATTGCACACTTTTTTTTTTTGCGGTACGCGGGCCTCTCACTGTTGTGGCCTCTCCCGTTGCGGAGCACAGGCTCCGGACGCGCAGGCTCAGCGGCCATGGCTCACGGGCCCAGTCGCTCCGCGGCATGTGGGACCTTCCCGGACCGGGGCACGAACCCGTGTCCCCTGCATCGGCAGGCAGACTCTCAACCATTGCGCCACCAGGGAAGCCCCTGGACACTTTTAAATGGTGAATTTTATGGCACGTGAGTTATATCTCCAAAAAGCTTTTATTTTTTTTTTTAAAAGAGCGATAGGGTTGTTACAGACTGTTTTGTCCTCCACCTCCCTCTGCAATTCGTAGGCTGAAACTTCAGCCCCAAAGTGATAGTATTAAGAGGAGGAGGCTTTGAGGAAGTGATTACGCCATGAGGGTGGAGCCCTCCTGAATGGGAATTGCAGCCTTATAAAAGAGACCCCAGAGAGCTCCCTTACCAGGTGAGGACACAGTGAGAAGGGAAGAGCGCTGTCTATGAACAAGAAATTGGACCTCTCACCAGACACGGAACATGCCGGCATCTGGATCTTGGACTTCCAGCCTCCAGAACTCTGAGGAGTAAATTTCTGTTGTTAATAAGCCATCCAGTCTATGGTATTTTGTTAGAGCAATCTGAACGGACTAAGACACCCCCTGCTGGCTGTCTATTCTCAGCCAAACAGCCAGCGCCTTCCTGTTAAAGCTTAAGCCAGGTGACATCACTCCTCTGATGTAAAGTCCTCCACTGACTCAACTTAGGTCTAGCCCATCGGGCCCTGCTGTTACCTCTCCACCTCCCTCATCTATAGTCCCCTTTGTTCATGTCATTTTAGCAACTGTGGCTTCCTTCTCCGGCCTCGAGTCTTTGCATTTGCTGTTGCTGCTTCGAACCCTCTGTTGGTGAATATTCTCCCCAGCTCCCTCCCTCCTTCGGCTCTGGACTTAAGTGACTCTTCAGTGAGAGCTTCCCTGACCACCCAAATATTTAAACTTGCAACCCACAGCCCACCCACCCCTCCCAGGTCCTCCTCCTGCTTTCTTTTCTTCTCCCAGCACTTTTCACATCATTTATGCTATGTGCTCTACTTCTTTGTTTATTATTTGTAGCTCTGCATTGCATGTGGGCCCTAGGAGGGCAAAGATCTTTGTTTTGTCTCACTGATGTGTCCCCAACACCTGTCACAATGCCTGGCACCAGGTGCTTGATAAATGTTTGTTGAATTCACACCTATGTTCATAGCAGCACTATTCACAATAGCCAAGACATGGAAACAACCTAAATGTCCATCAACAGATGAATGGATAAAGAAGACGTGGTACATATATACAGTGGAATATTACTCGGCCATAAAAAAGAACAAAATAATGCCATTTGCAGCAACATGGATGCAACTAGAGATTATCATACTAAGTGAAGTAAGTCAGAAAGAGAAAGACAAATACCATATGATATCACTTATATGTGGAATCTAAAATATGGCACAAATTAATCTATCCACAAAACAGAAACAGACTCACAGACAGAGAACAGACTTGTGGTTGCCAAGGGGGAGGGGGAATGGGGGAGGGATGGAGTGGGAGTTTGGGGTTAGTAGATGCAAACTATTTCATATAGAATGGATAAACAGCAAGGTCCCACTGTATAGCACAGGGAACTACATCCAATATCTTGGGATAAATCATAATGGAAAAGAATGTAAAAAAGAATGTATATATGTGTATAACTGAGTTACTTTGCTGTGCAGCAGAAATTAACACATTGTCAATCAACTATACTTTAATAATAAATAAATAAATAAATATTTGTTGAATGAATAAGGAGTAGAAGGTAAGTTAGGGGGACAAGAAGAGCTGAGATGAAAGAAGAAATGAAGCCAACAAATATTAAGGTTGTTAAGGATTATGACCATAAAAAATGGCCGTGGAGCTTAGATGCCCCATCTTTTTATCCAAAGCCTCTGGCCTGAGCCACCTTTAACAACTTGGCAGAAGTGCCCTGGAGTCTGGATGGGAGGAGAGGAGAGGAAGAGGGAGCAGGGGCCAGGTGGGCAAGGGTTGGGAGGGGTCTGGTTCCACAGGGGAACCACTTCTTACTTCCCAGCCAATGAGGGGGCTGCATTTGAGCCACTGTTTCAGAAACAACGTAACTAGTGCAGACTGCTCCTTTGATAAACTGGCAGATGAATCCCCATGTGGGTATGCAGGATTTGGGGAAGGGGCGGTGAACTGGCTCCAGGGTTCACTCACCAATCAGGAATAAGAAACACAGGCTTCTGGGGAGAGAGGCTGCCACTGGAGGGGGGTGGGTATGAATGGGCTGTGAAGGTGGAGGTGTGGGTTGAGACGCAAAATACTACGCAGTTAATGATTTCTCCTCTGCCACGGCCCAGACCACCCTGTCAGTAGCACTTTCCATTTTTCTCAGTCACAGCTCCGTTTGTTTCTTTCAGAGAACTCCCCACACTCTGTAACTACCTTACTTGTTCTCTTGTTTATCTTCCTCCCCTTCTAGACTCTAAACTCCAGGAGAGCAGGGGATCTAGTTTCCCTTGTTCCCTGGTCTAGCCTGAGAGTCTAGCACAGTGCCTAGTATATATAGTAGGTGCTCAAGAAATATTTGTCAAAGGAATGAATGAACCCAGACAGAAGGAAATACTCTAATCACACTGCTTCTCCACTGGACGGCTGGGGATGGGGCACTCTGATCCTCCTTCCTGGGTTGTGCCTCTTGTTCCAGGCTGTGTCATGGACACCTGGCCCCCAAAGCACGCTGTCAGCATGAAGAGCCTCTGTCCCAGGGGCAGACCTTGGGCACAGCCTCTGTCCTGGGCTCTGGCTTTGAGTGGTGGCGGTAGGAAAAGGGCTCCTGGAATTCCTTACCTAGGATAGGGGTATGAGTGAGAGAGATGGGTTAGAGATGGAGTCATGTGGATGGGGGTCGGGTGGGTGGGAGGATAGACTCACAACAATCTAGAAGAGAGAATGAGGCCTCAAGAGCAGAAGGGCTGAAAAGGAGGTGGCACATGTGAGAACTATTTAGGAGGTAAATTAAGCAGGATTTGGTGATTGACGGTATTGAAGAGAAGGGAATTGGGGCACCAAGAATAATCCCAAGGCTTTAAAAGAATCAGTGCCGCAGCCATTTCTTTTTGGCCTGTAGGTTCCTCCGGTCCAAAGGCACAGAAATGGCCACTGGACTCCTCTGCCGCTCCACAGTTCATTCAGGACTTACGGCGACCCTCACAGGTATCCCGTCACGTGCTGCGCTCTGAGGAACACGCTCCCTGTGTTGAAGGGGCGCACGTCTGGTCTCGGAGACAGACACAGTGTGACCACTGCGGCCATCGCATAAAGGATGCTCTGGGGCCGAGAAGGACGGGGTCGGATGAGTCTTTACGCGGAGACATCTAAGTGGGGTCTCCCGGAAGAACAGGTGTTTGCTACCGTGGTATGAGGTGGGCAAAGTGAATAAGGGCGGAGGTAAAGCACTAGGAAAGGCAATAAAACGACTTAAGAAATAAGAAAGAGGTCTGTCAAGCGGCTGGAACACCGTGGGTGTGAGCGCCGGGATCATGATGTCCTAGACTGGGCAGCGCGTGGAGGCCGTACTGGAGTTTGGATTTATCTCCCAGCCCACGCGGGAGAGACACAATACGGCCCCAACTTACAGGTCAGATCCAGGGAAGGCAGCCGAAAAGCCTCTGGCTGGAGCGGAGCGAGGGGGTTCCCCCAGTTAGGGACTTCCAAGTCCCGGTAACCGAAACCCCGGGAAGCGGCGGCTTTGGGCAAAACCATTCTCCGGAGATGGAGAGGGGAGAGAAGGCCAGCACTCGGATCCCAAGTCCGCTGAACCAGCTGGAACTCCACTCGCCTCTTCTCCTCGCTCTTCTCTTACTTTTGCGCTCTGTTTCGCCTCATTGGCTCGCCTCCTGAGCGCCCGCCAGTGCCGGGCACCACCAGTTGCTCCTCGGCCGCCCCCTCCCGCGCGTGGTACGGCCCGGCGGGCGCGCATCCAGGCACAGGTTATAAAGGCCCTGCTGCGGCAGCCGACTGCGGCCTCAACATGCGCCCGCAAGAGTTGGGGCAGGGTTCAGCCGGCGACTGGCCGGGACCCGGCGATCCGGCAGCAGTCACCCCAGCTCCTCCGCCCGCAGCCAATCCCGCTCCAGAGCCCTCCGCCGAGCCTGAACCCGCCCCTGTGCAGGTACCGGCGGCAGGACAGGCAGCAGGATCCGGATCCGCAACCGTCTCGGGACCCTCAGCGGGAGCTCGCCCCGCCTCCAAGGCTGGATCGGAGGCAGGAGTGCAGCGCGCGTCCTCATTCTCGGCAGTCTAGGGGAATGCCCAGTCCGTGCCCGACAACTCGGACGCGCCGCGGACTCGCTTCATATTCCAAGGTACATTTGGCCCCCGGGCCGCTGGCTTGGGGACTGGAAAGGCAGCGGGCATCTGGAAGACGCCGGCTGCCTACATCGGCCGGCGGCCTGGGGTGTCGGGCCCCGAGCGCGCCTCCTTTATTCGGGAGCTGGAGGAAGGTAAACTGGGTCCCCGGACCCCCGGAGCAGGTGGGACTAGGGCAGCAGCAGGGAGGAGGGGGCCCCGTCGGGTCCGGGCGCCCGGTCCCCTCTGGCACTCAGTCCCACCCCTCCGCCCACCCTTGCGAAGTCATGGTCTGCGGCGCCTCTCCGGTCCCCTTTTCCCCACCTCCTTCTCCCCTTCTCTCGTTCCCTATTTCCGTCGGTGGGTAAGATCCCCGGGGCTCGCGCTCCCCTGCCCCCCTCTTCACGCCTGTTGCTGCAGCAGATCTGCGCACTCTCAGTGCCCCCCTCCCGAGGCTACCGCAGTGCTAGGAGAGGGGCGGGGGGCTGCGGGAGGGCTCTCTGCCCGGTGCGCTCTGAGCCTGCGCTGGCCCGCCGCGCCAGCGACGGGGAGGTGGGTGGGCAGAGGGGAGGTTTTGCCAACCTCCTGGCTGCTGGGGTCAAGATCGGGCTTTCCCCCCTACCCCCAAACAATCTTGGGGGTGGGCGGAGCCTCAGACAGAAGCTGCCTCTCCTCTTCCCTCCGAGGGGAAGTAGGACTGGGATCTCCTTACCCCTCCTAGGCCCCTCCAGAAAAAACAAACAATCAATCAATCAAACAAACAAGAGTCCAGCTGGCCCTGGGAGCAGGGAAGGGAGTGCTGATTACTGGGGGTATGGAGAGGATATTGGGGGCAGAAAGGGAACTCAGTCTTCTCCCTTGTTGCTGACCCTTGCTGTTGAGGGCAGGAAACAGTAGGGTGGCAGGTAGCATGTGCCCCCTTTTCCCTGATGTGGCTTCCCGCTTTCTCTTGCAGTGCTGTGTCCTGACCTACACCCACCAGTCAAGAAAATCACCCAAGAAGATGTCAAAGTGATGCTAAGTTTGCTAGAGGAGGTGTGTGCTGCCTTCCCCGCCAGGGACAGCCCCAGCTTTAGCCAGGCTCCCGTTTTAATTATGTCTGTAGGGGTAGGAGTGTTCCTGCCTGGCTACCTCTCTGGGGGCCAAGCTGGAGGTCCCTCTTATGGAAGACAGGTAGATGTGGGATGTCCAGGCTGCGAGAGCTCTTAGCACCTTCCGGTCTGATCTCTTTTTCCATAGGGGGAAACTGAGTCAGGTCCCACAGTGGGTTCATGGCAGGCTCTTGTCTAGTACCTTGGAGAACTAGGGGATGGAGAGGGTCTCCAGCAGTGGCCTAGCTTTCCTCTGGACGCTAGCTCCTCCCATCTGTCTGGGAGATCCCAGAAACCAGGAACATATTCCCCATGGATGGGGGTCCCTCTGCAGAGAGAGCGGGACCTGAACACGGCAGCTCGCATTGGCCAGTCCCTGGTGAAACAGAACAGTGTTCTGACGGAGGAGAACAGCAAGCTGGAAGCCATGCTGGGCTCGGCCAGGGAGGAGGTACCTGGGTGGGGAGGGCAGCGGGAGGCGTATCTCAGGCCGGCCTCCATCCCACTGTGCTGGGCTGTGTGCCTGCCCCTGCGCATACCCCGCCCCAGGGCTTCTCTTCCTCCTGCCAGATTTTACATCTCAGACACCAGGTGAGCCTGCGGGATGACCTCCTTCAGCTTTACTCAGACTCTGATGATGAAGAGGAGGAGGACGAGGAGGATGAAGAAGAAGAGCGGGGGTATGGTCATCCCTACGAAGCCTCAGATCCGTCAGTGTCCTGCCTTATTTTTTTTTTTTTAAATTTTTCGCTGCACCACGCGGCTTGCGAGATCTCAGTTCCCCAACCAGGGATTGAACCTGGGCCACGGCAGTGAAAGTGCCAATCCTAACCACTGGACCACCGGGGAACTCCCCGCAAGTGTCCTGCCTTTGCACCTGGGCGGCCCCTTCTCCGAGCCTCAGTTTCCTCGTTCGCAAACAGGGACACCACGTACCTGCCACTGGGGTTGCTGGAGCTAACTGAGACCACCGCAGTCAGCCTGGGGTGGGGGAGCCCTGGGTGGGCTGGGAACTGGGTCCCCCGAGCCCCTGCACCCCGACTCCCATCACTCCCTCCCCTAGGACTCCTCTGACAGAGTCAGAGGCACACCACTGCCCGCAGCTGGAGGCCCTGCAGGAGCGGCTGCGGCTGCTGGAGGAGGAGAACGAGCAGCTGCGAGAGGAGGTGAGGACGGGGGAGGAGGGCGTGCCCGTGGGCAGGGGGTGTTGACGCCCCTGCCCCTTCCTCTCTCCCGCTCTCCAGGTCTCTCAACTCGATGACCTTGAGGAGGAGGGACAGATGTTCATCCTGGGTTGTGTGGAGCAGTTTTGTACGTGAACTTGTAACTGGGGATAGGGGGCGCTGTCCAGAGGAGCAGAGACAAGAACCTGGGATTTGGAGTTTGGAGACTTGAGTTCATGTCGCAGCTCTGACACCTTCTAGCTGTGTTACCTTGGACAAGTTCCTTAACCTGTCTGAAACTTCATCCTTAGAATGGGGGTTCATAACTTGGCCCTGCTGACCTCTCCAGGGGTTACAGCTGAGGAAGTGCTTTGTGCAAACTGTAAAGAGCTGTGCGGATGCTATGGGGCTCCTCTAAGCTTGTCTCCTTTTGTTATTTGAGAAGGGGGAGGGAGGGGGCTGGGAGCGAGGAATGGAGGGAGCCAGGAACCGCCAGAGACCGGGGCCCCCCTCCCTCCTCAGGCACTGCATTATTAGGCAGAGGCTGTGCCTGGCACTGTGTGGTCCTGAAGATGAGTGAGGCACAGCGTTTGTCCCTGAGGAGCTCAGGCCTAGCTCGGGAGATGCGTACTCAAGGTGGCAACAGATGAACTCGTGCTGTTCCGCTCACCCCAAATCTGGCCTTCCTTCCCCCTGGGTTCCCTGAATGGCGCCCCCCTGGTCCCAGGCCCCCGGAGTAGGAGCCAGTCCCCACATTCTGTTGCTTCTACAACAGGAAAGGCTAGGAAAGGCTCACGTCTCTTTCCGTTTCCCACCCCAGCTGCCTCTAGCCCAGGCCAACTCTTAACTGGTCTCTCTGCCTCCACTCCTACCCTTCCAGGCCCTTCTGCACACAGCGCAAAGGAGTTTTCTAAAACCAAATCTATGTCACTCCCCTGCCTAAAACACCCAAGTAACTCCCCATTGGCCAAAGGATAAACCCCACCCTCCCTACCCCAGCCCTAGTGATCTGGGCCCTGCCCACCGCCCCAGCCACTCCCTCCTGGTGTCCTCTGGGCCTCTCCACACCCTGCCTGGGGCGTCTTCCCTTCTGCTGGGCGAGCCCCATTTCCCCAGGGAGGTCCTAGCATCTCAGACCTTGCCAGGCTGGCCTGGGTGCGGCAGCTGTGACCCCCCGATGCACCCTTTATGCTTGCCGCATCCTAGACCATAATGTGCACTATCGTGATTTCTTTTTCCCTCAGTTTCCACACTAGTCTTGAGCTCAGTGTGGGCTGGGGCCAGGTCTTGCTGACTGCTTGTCCAACACCCTGCTCTGTGTCAGTCAGTAAATGTTTATTGAAAAGAAGACCCGAGTGAGGGATGCTAAGCCCTGTGGAACCTCGGGTACTTGGCGCGAGCTGAGGGGTGCAGGTGGACGGAGGCAGCTGGGAGACTGAGGACCCAGGGAACCAGGGCTGACCTCTCCTCACTCCTCCCCAGCGGAGGCCAGCCAGCAGATGGCCGAGCTGTCGGAGGTGCTGGCGCTCAGGATGCAGAACTCTGAACAGCAGCAGAGGGAGGCTGCCCAGCTGCGGGCCCAGGTCACGAAGCTGCAGCAGTGCTGCCAGGCGGTGCGTCGGGGTGTGTGCGGGGCTCCTTGCTCCTGTCATGGCCCCATGGGACCCACACCTCCTTCTCCCTGCCCCCACCCCATGGAGCTCAGAGGCCCAAGGCCCCTCTCTGTGTCAGAGTCAGTGTTGGAGGAGACATCAGAGAGAGCCTCATCCTGTCCCCTCGTCCCAAGTTGGGGACCGAGCCCAAAGAGAGATACAGGGTGTTCCAGGAAACAGGCCACGTGACTCCCCACGTTCTTTGGCCTTATTCCACGTGACTTCTTTTTGGAAGAGCTGCCAGAGACTCACCAATGAGCCTGGGAAGACTTGCCAGAAGCAGGGTGTGCGCGGGAGCGGGGAGGTCTGGGGTGAAGTTCTCTGGTCTTGGGTCCTTCCAGTATGGGGCTGAGGTTGAGAAGTTGCAGCAGCAGCTGGCTTCGGAGAAAGAAATCCAGACGCAGCTCCAGGATGAGGTGAGGCTACCCTGGGCTCCTGGGGGACCTGGGACCCTTGGGCAGCTGCCTGACTCTCCTGAGAGGACAAGCTCCTCGCAGCAGGGACTGGGTCTGTCCTTTCCATACCCTCAGCCTCTGGCACAGGGCCTGGCAGGTGGCAGTTCATTTGGGGTCTGAGTGGAGTGGAGTCCGGGGATCACCCTGCATATCATTATGGGGGACTAGAGTCTGGGCCTCTTGCCTCTTTGCCCAGGCTTCCCCGTCCCCTGGGGAGAGAGTGGGCAAGGCGTCTGGGCTGGGTGTGCCTGCATCCCAGCAGAGCCTGGGGGCGGGTTCCCAGCTGCAGGACCTACGGGAGAAGTACTCTGAGTGTGGGAGCATGCTGACTGAGGCCCAGGAGGAGGTGAAGACCCTCCGCCAGCAAGCCCCGGCGTCCACTGGCTCTGTCACCCACTACACGGACACTGTACCTCTGGTGAGGCCCCCTGGCTGCCTGCCTTTTTACCTCTGTGCGATCTGTGTCTATCCGCAGTCCTTTCCTGTGCCTGGGGGTGTGGGTGGGGGGTTCTGTGGGGATCTTCTGGTGATGTCCCCCCTCTCCACCGTAGGAAGCACTTCCTGATTTCCAGGAGACCCTGGCTGAGGAGCTCAGAACGTCTATAAGGAGGATTATCTCAGACCCTGTGTTTTTTATGGAAAGGTGCACTCTGGGCCCCAGACCTTTGCCTGCCCTGCACTCACTCTTGCCTACCTGGTAGGCAGCAGCCTTTCTGGTAGTGGGAGGGGGTTCACCTCCCTCCCCCACTCCTCCCCCCGCCCCGGGTGCCCCTCCTCCTGCCTCATTGGTCCTTGGCCCCTTCCACTCAACACCTTTCCTCTGTGCACACATTCTGGGTGTATCATTTCTCCCTGGGATTTTTCTGCATGATGGGGTCCCAGGGATTTCACACTTTTAGCTTCCCGTTGCCTCGGGACAGTGAAGGCCCTTTTCTATGTTGAAGGAATTATGAAGTGACTCCAGAGGAGACCTCAGATCTGGGGTACGCCGACCAGAGGCTCCCCCTTCACCTGCCCTCACCTTTTTTTAAAAAGTATTATGTTTTTGGCTGCGTTGGGTCTTTGTTGCTGCACAGGCTTTCTCTCCTTGCGGCGAGTGGGGGCTACTCTTCGTTGTGGTGCGTGGGCTTCTTGTTGCGGTAGCTTCTCTTGTTGAGGAGCACGGGCTCTAGGTGCATGGGCTTCGGTAGTTGTGGTGCACAGGCTCAGTAGTTGTGGCTCGCAGGCTCTAGAGTGCAGGCTCAGTAGTTGTGGCACATGGGCTTAGTTGCTCTGCGGCATGTGGGATCTTAGTTCCCCGACCAGGGCTTGAATCCATGTCCCGTGCATTGGCAGGCGAATTCTTAACCACTGCGCCACCAGGGAAGTCCCCACCTGCCCTCACCTTTCAGCAGCCAGACAACCCCCTGCAGCTGGTTCTGTGGCCCTACAACCCTGGAGAAGCCCCTGCTCTCAGGCCGGCTGGGCTAAGAGTTGTTCTGGGAAGGAGCTGCCCGCTTTACCTTCAAATTTTGCCCCATGGGTGGCCATCTGATTTGAGGCTTCTCCAAGTGGGAGCTGAAGCCTTCCCTTCACCTGACCAGGGACTGAGAGGCAAATGGGCACTGGCCTAGGAGCTGGAAACAACTGGGACTGAGTCCCAGCTTGATCCCTTTACTGGCTGTGTGTCCTTGGGCAAGTCACTTGACCTGTCTGGGCCTTTCTAAAAATGGATTTGTTACTATGGCAACTAGAAGTGGGATGGGTTGTGAATGTTAAATAATGAAGGAGGGGGGCAGAGGGGATGTTATTCCTGCTGGTCTGTTCCGTGCAGCAGGGTGGGGTTACTGGGGGAAGGCGGGGCCTAGGCAGTGTTGGTGACCATTCTTCTTTCTACCAGGGTCATGGGCTGGGTGTTTGAAGCCTTGAGGCTGGTACCCAGCTGCCCTCTCCCCTGGCTGGGACAGAACTGGGGAGTAACCATCAGGGTCTGTGTGCAGGCCGGGGCGGAGAGCAGGAGCCCCAGTGGCTGGAGGTGCCCTGGAGCAGTGAAGAGGGGTGGCTCTGGCTTTGGGGGGTTAGGGAAGGACTCTCCTGTCTCCCTGCCCAGCTATGAGCTGCACTACAGTGAAGATCGAGAGCGGGAGCAGGGGCTCGAGGCAGAGGAGGGGCTGATGTCGGCGAGGATTTCGCGCCTGCGGAGGAGCTGGTGCCTGAGGAGGAGCTGGGGGCCACAGAAGAGGCGCTACCAGCTGACGAGGGGGTGACGGAAGAGGCAGAGCTGGTGTCTGAGGAGGCTGAGGCCTGGGAAGAGGCGGAGCCCGAGCTGGATGAGGCAACGCGGATGAATGTGGTCACGTCAGCCCTGGATGCCAGCGGCTTGGGCCCCTCTTGCCTGGACATGAAGTATGTCCTCCAGCAACTGGCCAACTGGCAGGACGCCCATTACAGGCAGCAGCTGCGGCAGAAGATGCTCCAGAAAGGTGAGTGCTCCCGTGGGGGCCTCCCTTCGGCCAGCCGGACAAGCTGCAGATCGTCAAGCCGATGAAAGGTGAGGGTAGGTGAGCCCCCCAGACGCTCACTTACCCCAGCCCGGCCCCACCCGGCATGCTGATTTGCATGGACTTTGCATATCATTTACATAGGCACCTCAGGTCCCCCTCAGTGGGAACTGTGGCCCCAATGCTTATTTACGTGGAGTGTGCATAGGATTCCAGATCTTCACCCTTTTTGCTCCTGGGGCTGGGCTGGGGGTCAGGGCGCGGACTGTAGCCCCTCACTGCATCTCAGCTTCCTGTCTCGGCCCGCCCCCTTCCCGTGTCCCCCCCACCCCCACCTCCCCCATCCCCAAGGCTCCTCAACCCTGCAGCAGGGGCAGCAGCCAAAACAAACATGGGGGGCAGGGTCGTGGAGCAGCAGCTGGGGGGCCGACCCAGGACTTTCGGAGGCTGGAGGAGGAAAGGGCCAATCACCCTCCCAGGGCCTGGAAGGACATTCCCAGGCCATTAGGACAAAAGCCTCTGCCAGCAAGGGCCACAGTCGGACCAGTCCCCTGGGTGAGTCTGAAGGTGGGCTAGGGGCTCCTACAGGGTGATGGGGGGCGGTTAAGGTCTCCTCTCCCCAGCTGGAAGCCCCAAAGGTTGGGGAGTAACACCTGCTGAGTACAGGCCTTGTGCTAGGCTGTGAGAGCCCTGCCTTGAGGAGTTCATGGAGATATCAAAGATGATTTAGTGATGCGAATTATCTTCTCTAATCCTCACAGCCCTGTAGGTACGTATTATCCCCGTTTGGAGAGGAAACGGAGGTTCAGAGAGCAAAATAATTTGTTCAAGGCCACTGAACCCGTTTTCGTCACTGCTATGCCGTAACGACTTCCCTGACCCATCCCTCCCCTCTAACCCTGTCCTGGTGCCTTCTTGGCCTTCTGGGTGAGCTGTGATGTTTATAACCTGTTGGCAGCCTCACCATTATATCTGATCTGCCCTGACTCTGATGGCTGTTTGGTCACTGCTGGGTGGCCTCATCGGGGTCGCCATGTAAGGTTGTGCAGGTTGTAAACTGAATGGTGACCTCTATGGCTGGACAGCCTGCATAACTCTCAATGGTGGCTGTCTCTTTCTGATATAGCTGACGAGGCGTACGTAGCCCCTGCCTGCTGCCCAGGCCAGACCTGTGGTCCTCAGGCCCCCAGTTCATGTCCACCCACTTCTTTTCCAGGCTTTGCTGTTTCCCAGCAGCCTGCTGAGGCCCCATAGACAGCCTGAGGCCCCTCCTTCTGCTGCCTGGCCAAGCCCCACCCTCCCCAGACCTCCCTTCCCTTGCTCAGAAACCGGACCCCCGATCTGTCACCAGCCCACCCGCTGTCCTGATGAACCTGGGCCGGAACTTGAGGGCCCAAGCCTTGACCCTCTTCTGGGACAGGCTGAAGGAACCCCGGCCCTCGTTCTGCGCTGGTGCAAAAGCTGTGGCTGCTGGGCCTGGATCACTTGGTGGCCCCAGGGGCGTAAGAAGCTCAGGGGGCGTAAGAAGCCCAGGGGGAGGCCCACCAGCTACCAGACTCGGCTCTGAGCTGGGGCAGGGCTCAGGCCCGGGGTGTAGGAAGTTGTTTTGAGCACCTTGGTCACTACATGCCCCTCACCCCTTGACCCCCAATCAAAGGTGGCTTCCCAGTCCTTGGTGACTTTTAGGGACCTGGTCGTCTTTCCCGGTTCTTAGCTCTTTCTTCTCAGTCCCTAATTGCTGTGTGTAACCAGAAGCATCTGTCTGTGTGGGCGAGGACTCCCTCTGCCCGGGATGGGGGTGCAGGGCTCCCTCCCCTCCCCTGCCCTCCCCACCTCCCCACCTGTGGCCTGTGAGTGTCCAGGCTCCCTCCCAAGGCCCTGTCACTCCCCACCACATCCTCTCCTCAGTGCCCCTTGTTTCCTTGTTCTAGATGTTTCGCCCTTTCCCACCCTTTACTCATAAACACCTGGAGTTGGGGGCTCAGGCCCCCGTTGGTATCTGCCCACCTCCCCACAGTGCTTCTCATGCTTCTGTTGCTTGTCAGACCGTGTACGTGCCGGTGAAGGAAATAAAAGACCTGTGCGCTACCTGGCCCAGCCTCTGCTGTCTTTCTCAGGGAGTGCACGTGTGTGTGTGTGTGTGTGTGTGTGTGTGTGCACTTTGGTGCGGCAAAGCTGTGGCGAGAGGATGGGCTCCAGTAGTGAATTACGTGCCAGGGGCTTTGATTAAACACATAATCATTTCAACAACCCCTGGGGGGTTGGTGGGTGATCTGATAAATGGTCGTCAGGTGATGAAACTGACACCTAGGCAGGTGAAGTGACCCTCCCAAGAGTGGAACAGCTGGTTGTGGAGCTGGGATTTGAACCCAAGCCCTCAGGCCTCCAGAGCCCATGCTTGGGCAGGCCCCCTTCCCCGATCCTTTCTGTTCCTGGGATCCTGACTCAGTGCCTAGCTGCAAAGGGTAAAGCAGGAATGAAGTCACCACTGTCTTAGGCAGAGGTCCCCCAGAACAACATGTGAAAACACGTCGTTTATTCCGTTAAATGAGGCTGTTGGACTGACTCTTGCCAAGGCAGGATTCTCAAACATGCAGGCAGAGAGGGACAGAAAACAGTATGAGATCAGAGGGTCCCAGAACTTTTGTTATGAGTCTGGCTTGATATGTTCAATTTCCAGTTTAGAGTTTATCATTTTGGAAAATAAGAGCTCAATTCTCTGAGCGGTTTAGTCACCTTCTAATTAATTCTTGGTGTTTCCACAGCATTGATAATAAAGATTTCAATCATGAAAAAAAAAAAAAACCAAGTAGTTTATTTAGAAGATGATCCCAGGAAGCCCTGCTGGTGGGGGAGTGGGGAATTGAGAACAGAAGGAAGCTAACGAAAGGGAGTTTTAGGCAACAGAGGCTCAGTTCTACCGGGGAAACCTGGGAGGGAGTGTAGCCCGTTGCAACTCAAAGTGTGGTCTGTGGACCAGCATCATTAACATCTCCTGGGAGTTTATCAGAAATGCAGAGTCTCAGGTCTCACCCAACACCTATATTGTCGGAATCTGCATGTTGACAAGGTCCCCAAGACCTTGACCTTCAATGCATATTGAAGTCGGAGATGCTACAGTCTAGAACCCATTTCAGTTACCCCATCCAAGGGGCGAGGAAGCTGGGGCAGGCATCCTCCAAGTTTTGTTTGTCATTGGCTGAGGTCTGCTCCGGGGGTTATTAACTCACTGGTGCTCTGGCCTCTCCACACATACGCTGGGGAAAAGCCCCCTGGCAGAGACTAACTGTGCTTGTCATGGACCGCGGTCAGCGTGTGCTAGAATGGTGAGTGCCGAGGAGGCAGGCAGGTCACTGACAGTCTGCTACGGTCCACGCTTTGTGCCACTCAGATGCGCTCAAGCCCCATGTGGAGTTCACTCTGGCCCAAGATGGCGGCTGGTCACAGTGTCTTAGGAAGAAGAATTACACCTGGAGGATGAATGGTATAAGCTGTGGTCCTCAGCTGCAATTGCTCCTGAATCCCTAGATGATACTTCTCATCTCCTTCCTCTACCACCCATCCTATATTCCCCTCTTCCTTGGTCAGCACTTCCGCTGGTCCAGGTTGCTTTCCTGGTGAAGTAACCTAGATCGTAATTCCTGAGAGGTCTGAACACTTGGTCATCGGCCCTGGTCAGGCTATTGTTACTGCAACTGCCTGTTTATGGTTATTGCCAGGCAGGAAGTCCCAAGACGCACCTCAGTGAATCCCCCTGAGTTCCAGACCCTGAATACTCCTTCCTGTCCCCACTATGAGGCAGTGATCCTAACCCCTCATGTTAATCAGAATCAGTAACCCCTGCTAATAATTGACTTTTCTTTGCCTGATGGTCTAATGACATGAACCAAAAATGGCCAGGCAGCCCCTATAACTTTATTTTTTTCTTTTTCTTTCTTTTTTTGTTTTTTTGTTTTTGGCCGCACTGTGTGGCTTGCAAGATCTTAGTTCCCTGACTAGGGATGGAAACTGGGCCCCCCGTAGTGGGAGCACAGGGTGCTAACCACTGGACCACCAGGGAATTCGCAAGCCCCTATAACTTTAGATTTAGGAGAACCTTTACTGTTCTCCCTGGTGGAAGCATCTTTCCCCAGGAACCAGGACTTCTAGTCCAGGAGTGTCTAGAAGCGTGGGGACGGGAAGTACAAATTTCTGAGGTGGGCCACTGGCAATGGTGGTCATAGGGACCACTTCCACTCTCCCCCTAGGTTCCCTATCCCATGTGTTCTGGCTGTCAGGGACAAAGCATTGTTTGAGAACCTCTGGCTCAAAGTATATCCTGCACCCCACCCTCCAGGGTGCATCCCCAAGTTAGTGCCTTAGCTGCGCCTTTAATTCTGACATTCTTTTAGGCCTGCGGTCTCTGGGTCACATGGCGTCTGGTAGGACAAGTGGATCCCATGGTCATGTGCTCATTGCTGCACCTCCTTCACTATAAAGCAGGTCCCTTGTCTGAGGTCCTGTTTTTTTATTTTTTAATTTTTTTTTAACTTAACATCTTTATTGGAGTATAATTGCTTTATAATGTTGTGTTAGTTTCTGCTGCATAACAGTGAATCAGCTATATATATGCATATATCCCCATATCCCCTCCATCTTGCATCTCCCTCCCACCCTCCCTATCCCACCCCTCTAGGTGGACACAAAGCACCGAGCTGATCTCCCTGTGCTATGCAGCTGCTTCTCACTAACTATCTATTTTACACTTGGTAGTGTATATATGTCAATGCTACTCTCTCACTTCGTCCCAGCTTACCCTTCCTCCTCCCTGTGTCCTCAAGTCCATTCTCTACATCTGCGTCTTTATTCCTGTCTTGCCCCTAGGTTCATCAGAACCTTTTTTTTTTTTTTAGATTCCATATATATGTGTTAGCATACGGTATTTGTTTTTCTCTTTCTGACTTACTTCGCTCTGTATGACAGACTCTAGGTCCATCCACCTCACTACAAATAACTCAGTTTCATTTCTTTTTATGGCTGAGTAATATTCCATTGTATATATGTGCCACATCTTTAGCCATTCATCTGTCGATAGACACTTAGGTTGCTTCCATGACCTGGCTATTGTAAATAGTGCTGCAATGAACATTGTGGTACATGACTCTTTTTGAATTATGGTTTTCACAGGGTATATGCCCAGTAGTGGGATTGCTGGGTCGTATGGTAGTTCTATTTTTAGTTTTTTAAGGAATCTCCATACTGTTCTCCATAGTGGCTGTACCAATTTACATTCCCACCAACAGTGCAAGAGGGTTCCCTCTTCTCCACACCCTCTCCAGCATTTCTTGTTTGTAGAGTTTTGGATGACGGCCATTCTGACCCGTGTGAGGTGATATGAGGTCATGTTTTAGGGGATCCTGTGATGGCATGTCACACACTGTACGTCCTTAGATGCTCTGTCGTCCTGTAGTGCTGGGGGAGGCACTGCGGGCAGAAGGGAAAGCCTACATTCAGAACGTGAACCACTCCCCACCAGGATGGTTCAATGCCCCTTCTAGGGTGGAAGGTGTCTGATGGAATCAATTTACCACGTGGCTTGTTGGTCCCCTAAGGGCGTGGTCCCACAGCCAGGGCTCAGAAATGGCCTCTGCTGCTCACAGGTCAGATGTGCAGCAGAGGTAGTAGCTGGATTGATGATCGGTTCCATGCCTGACCTCTGTCTCTGGCACCATGGTCACTTTATTCATGGGCCCAAAGTGCAAGTAGGGAGTGGCCAAAGACTGCACCTAGCTGACCTCCATTGGGTGAGACATCCTGACCACCTGGTCGTTTCAGTGGATGCTCTCGGGTGGGCACTGATGTGAGACACGGAAGTCCACAGGCCCTGTGCCTCCCTCCATGGATCTATCTACTTGCCTCTTTCCCAGATGTCTTCGTCTCGGAATTTCTAGTCTTTCTCTTGCATGTCCCCTGACCGATCTGCTGCTGCCCGGAGGTCTGTGTGTGTTCTTCCCCCAAACCACTTCTCCCTCCACGCCAAGTGGATGCCCAGGTCCAGAACGTGAAGCTCTACCCACCTGAAAGACTGCCCTTCACCACCGTCTTCCAGGGCCACCCAGAGTGAGCCGTGGTTCAGCAGCAGTTCATTTTCAGTTTTTACCGGCTTATCAAGTCTACCCCCTCGTGAACCAGGCCTGAATTTTTCCTCCTGTATGAGCTGGCCATAGGCAACCTCCAGTGAGGCTATAGGGGTAAGCCGAGGAAGAGGCACTGATGCAGTAGACGTAGGTGGCCTGGGGGTGTGGGTGACTGACTAACTTGTTTGTGCCCTCTGGCCTTCCTCAGGCCCAATCTCAAGTGTACCATTTCATCCTAAACTGAATCACTGCTTGGCCCATCCAACCTTATGACGTGGTGAGTCTGAAAACACCCAGCTCAGGGTGGGCAACTCTGATTGCATAGTAACTTAATGTCCAGTGGTCAAGTGCTCATTCCCTACTAGGGCCCAGTAGCATGCTGGGAGTGGCTTTTTTAACAGTAAATAATTCTCTTCTGTAGATAGCATGCCCTTGACTCTAGAACAGGGGTCAGCAAACTATAACCCATGGGCCAAATCTGGCCCGTCACCTGTTTTTGTTTGGCCTGCAAGCTAAGAATATTTTTTATAGTTTAAATGGGTACACTTTGAATGGTTATTTGAGTACCTATGCAATGTCCCTGATTTTGCCTCTTGGCCTGCAAAGCCTAAAATATTTTCCATCTGGCCCTTTAAAAGAAGTTCGCCAGCCCTAGGGGTCTGCACTGCAGTTCTCTTATTGGGACTTCCCAGAGACTTCACATGAAATTCTTGTCCAACACAGATATTTCTAGCACTGTGGGATCTGTAGCAACACAATTACTGAGACTCCTTTAAAAAATTTTTATTTTATATTGGAGTATATTTGATTAACAATGTTGTGTAGTTTTAGGTGTACAGCAAAGTAATTCAGTTGTACATGTATCTATTGTTTTTCAAATTCTTTTCCCATTTATTGCAGAGTATTGAGCAGAGTTCCTTGTGCTATACAGTAGGTCCTTCACAATTACTGAGATTCTTATCTGTAGTGAATTAGGATGGGATCTGGGTGGAAGAGGGTCCATTGGCTTATCAATTGCTTCAGCGTTTGAGAGATAAGAGCAATGATTATTATGACTGTGGAGTGGCTTGGCTATTGTTAATCATCAGAGTATCTCTAAAGGAGGAAAATGTTAGGCTCAGGTCAGCCAACCATTCACTCAGGATATGGTATGAAAGTCAAATGGCCTCCATTGCAACAAAGGGAAGATTGCATTGGAAATCAGGACCAAGACCTGATGGTAAGAGTGCAGAGTAACAAAGGAGGCTGAAAGCAGCACCCCAAAAGTCTCCTCTGCTGAAGTCCTAGAATGAAAGGAATGGGACCATGACACGCATGGGTGGAATATTTGAGGAGATGCCCTTAAAGATCTTTTTTTTTTTTTTTTTTTTTGCGGTACCCCATTGTGGAGCACAGGCTCCAGACGTGCAGGCTCAGCGACCATGGCTCACAGGCCCAGCCACTCCGCGGCATGTGGGATCTTCCCGGACCGGGGCACGAACCCGTGTCCCCTGCATCGGCAGGCGGACTCTCCACCACTGCGCCACCAGGGAAGCCCTGCCCTTAAGAATCTTGAACTCCCAACCCTCCTACACTGTTGGTAGGAATGTAAATTGGTACAGCCACTATGGACAGCAGTATGGAGGTTCCTTAAAAAGCTAAAAATAGAGTTGCTGTATGACCCAGCAATCCCACTCCTGGGCATATATGTGGGCAAAACTCTAATTTGAAAAGATATATGCACCCCTATGTTCATACCAGAACTATTTACAATAGCCAAGACATGGAAGCAACCTAAATGTCCATCGACAGATGAATGGATAAAGAAGATGTGGTACATATATACAATGGAATACTACCCAGCCATAGAAAGAATGAAATAATGCCATTTGTAGCAACATGGATGGACCTAGAGATTATCATACTAAGTGAAGGATGTCAGAGAAAGACAAGTACCAAAAGATATCACTTACATGTGGAATCTAAAGTATGACACAGGGACTTCCCTGGTGGCGCAGTGGTTAAGAATCTGCCTGCCAATGTAGGGCACATGGGTTCGAGTCCTGGTCCAGGAAGATCCCACATGCCACGGAGCAACTAAGCCTGTGAGCCACAACTACTGAGCCTGCACTCTAGAGCCCGCAAGCCACAACTACTGAAGCCTGTGCGCCTAGAGCCCGTGCTCCGCAACAAGAGAAGCCACCGCAATGAGAAGCCCACCCACCGCAACGAAGAGTAGCCCCCGGTCACTGCAACTAGAGAAAGCCTGCGTGCAGCAATGAAGACCCAATGCAGCCAAAAATAAATTAATTAATTAAGAAAAAATGACAGGAACCTGTCTACAAAACAGAAACAGACTCACAGACATAGAAAACAAATTTATGGGGAATTCCCAGTGGTTAAGACTCGGCACTTTCACTGCCGTGACCCGGGTTTGATCTCTGGCCGGGGAATTAGGATCCTGCAAGCCTTGCGTCCCAAGGCCAAAACAAACAAACAAACAAACAAATAAATCCCCTCCCCCATTTAAAAAAGAAAAGAAGGGCTTCCCTGGTGGCGCAGTGGTTGAGAGTCCGCCTGCCGAGGCAGGGGACACGGGTTCGTGCCCCGGTCCGGGAAGATCCCACATGAGAGGCCCGCGTACCGCAAAAAACAAAACAAAACAAAACAAACAAAAAAAACCCTTATGGTTATCAAAGGGGAAAGGGGGTGGGATAAATTAGGAGTTTGGGATTAGCAGATACACACTATTACATATAAAATAGATAAACAACAAGGACCTACTGTAAAGAAAAGGGAACTATATTCAATATCCTGTAATAAACCATAACGGAAAAGAATATGAAAAAGAATATGTATACATATGTATAACTGAATCATTTTGCTGTACACCAGAAGCTAACGCAACGTTGTCAATCAACTATACTTCAATTAAAAAAAAAAAAGTAAAAGAATCTTGAACTCCCGGTTTCCGGGAATCCTCTGGGCTGGAAGAAGGACCTCTACTTTGCCAGAGGGAAGCAGCTTCCCTTTACCTGGAGGCTGCAAAGACCTCCTTGAGGCAGATGCCTCCTGAAATGATGCTTCTCAAGATTTGCCCCTGCCACCCTTAGGTGTTTCTAAACCACAAGCTGACGTCCAGGTCTTACCACGTGGAGAAGTACTGTTCCAGGTAAGAGAAGACAGGGATTATTCTCCGCCAAATGCTGCAGGAGCTGAATGACCTGATAATATGTACCAGCAGGGACCAGGACAGCAAATATAGGAGTGGATTTTTGAGGTTGGTAGACCCAGGAGGGTGAGCTGGAGAATGACTGGCTAGGGGAGAGTTTATTTTATTTTAGTTTATTTTGGCCACACCGCCTGGCTTGTGGGATCTTAGCTCCCCAACCAGGGATTGAACCCAGGCTCTCGGCAGTGAAAATGTGGAGTCCTAACCACTGGACGGCCAGGGAATTCCCAGGGGAGAGTTTATTGATATAAGAGACGAGGATGCCTACTCTCCTATGACTCAGGATCTAACTTCCTGGCAAAGACACCTGAAGCCAAATGACTCGCTGGTAATGACCCCTTGACAGACAAAACAACAGCATACAGCAACTGAATCGAAGATGTCTGAATTGCCTCAGCAGAGTATTGAGGAAGGAGACAACAGGCTCAGAGAGGCAGCAATGAAGACCCATTCCATTGCTAGAATGGAATTGTGATGTAAGATGAGAGAATCCACAGGGGACTGTGATGCTGCAGGTGTTATCAGCACCCTTCTTAGCACAGCAATGGGGTCTGGCCGGTGCAGGACCAAATCTCGGAATCCCATCATGGGGGTCTTACTTCCTATAACTGCTTCTAGTACCCACTGTCTTAGGATGCGTTCCCCCAGGTGCAGACTTGGAGATAGGGATTTGAATGCAAGTAGTTTATCTGGGCGGTGATCACAAGAAATATCTGTAGCAGCCTAAGGCTGTGAGACAGGGAAGGGAAGGGAGCCAATAAAGGAGATCGTTGAGCAGGTTACTGTTGTGGGTAACTAGGGCTCAGTGCTACTGGGGACCTCTGGGAGACAGAGTAGCATATACCTCAGTGTTACCCCGCCCCAGGTGAGGGAGCTGGGGTAATTGTTCTCCAACTCTAATCTGTCATTGACAGATGCTTCTGGAGGCACTAACTCCCCAGAATTTCTAGCCTGCCTTGCGTTCTGAAAGCCCTCAGGTGGCGAGTAGCAGGTGCCTGGGGTAGGATGCTGTGACAGGCACAGGAACAGTAAAGGAATACGAGCAAAACGCCAAGTGTGTGTGCCGGCCACGCGCCTATCCATTTGATAAATATTTTTTAAATTATTTATTTATTTAATTCATTTTTGGCTGCGTTGGGTCTTAGTTGCAACACACGGGACCCCTCGTTGCGGCACTCGGGCCTCTCTCTAGTTGTGGCGTGTGGATTTTCTCTTCTCTAGCTGTGGTGCGTGGATTTTTCTCTTCTCTAGTTGTGGCACGGGTTCCAGAGCGCGTGGGCTCTGTAGTTTGTGACACGCAGGCTCTCTCGTTGAGACACACGAGCTCAGTAGTTGAGGCATGCGGGCTTAGTTGCCCCGCGGCGTGTGGGATCCTAGTTTCCTGACCAGGGATCAAACCTGCATCCCCTGCATTATAAGGCAGATTCTTTACCACTGGACCACCAGGGAAGTCCCCTATTTGATAAATATGTATGGGGTATCTCCTGTTCTTGGCACTAGGGATACAGCAGGGGAGAAGGACGCGTAGTCCCCACCCATAGAGTTTCCCTTCTACCTGGGTCGGCAGACAATAAACTGGCAAACAAAACAACTACAGATTGTGAAATGCGCTCTGCAGACGGTGCTGTGCTGTGATGAAAGACTATTGGGGGCTGCCTGCGAGGAGCAGAAAGGGCAGGTCTCTCAGGAAGAGGCCTTTCAACCAAGACCCAAGAGAAAAAGAGGAGCCGGCCACGTTTGTGCCCAGGAAATGCATTCCACGCACAGGGAACAGAGAGGACAAAGGTTCAGGGCAGGAAAGAGCATGGTGCGCTTGAGTAGCAGGAAGGAAGAGGAAGGAGGAAGGAATTTGGCACCCATGAGGTGGAAGAGGACAGCAGGGCTAGGTCTTAGGGCTATGGCAAGGAGCCCACGTTGGTTTTTTTGTTTGTTTTTGTTTTTCTGTCTGGGCCATGCGGCATGCGGGGATCTTAGTTCCCCAACCGGTGATCCAACCCGTGCTCCCTGCAGTGGAAGCGTGGAGTCTTAACCACTGGACCACCAGGGAAGTCCCCAGGAGCTTAGGTTTTATTCTAAGTGCAACGGAAAGCACTGGGGGGTTCACTCTGGAGTGGCATGATTGATTTCTCTTTTAGAAGGCTCACTCTGGTTGCGATAACACCGTCTATTCTCCCATCCACATTATAGAGTCTTGTTCAATGTTAAGCTCTGGGGACGCCCAGGAGACTTAGCCAGTATCCCTGCCCCTAGGGGCATGCTCAACCCTCCTCCCTGTCTCAACTCTGCCGCAGCCACCCCCATTCCCTGCCCCGTGACACTTGACACAATGTGATCCATTGGAAGCTAGTTTATTTCGATTTATGTTTCATGGGGCTGGGCTAGGCTGGGCTGGGAGGTGGCTGGGCTCTCAAGCTTGGCTCTAGGGACCTAGGTCCCCTTCCTCGGCACTGCGGCGTCCGAAGTCCATCCAGCCATATGCTTCTTCTTCTTCTTCCACCCATGGTCCCTGCTTCTTGGACAGGTCTGAGGGTCAGAGGTGGGAGAGGAGGTGAGGATGGGGGAAGGATGCCTAGCCTCTGGAGACTGAGGCCAGGGCCAGCCTGGGGGGACTTTGGCTAAACCAGGCTGGGCGAGGCAAGTAGGGACTGTTGTCAGCAGCTCCTACCTGCTACCAAGTGTGAAGGATCCTGGAGCCCCAGCTGCCTTCGGTGGTGAGAGGCTGGGCCCAACTGGTCCAGCCCACGTGGCTCCTGGCCCCTACTGGCCCCTGGACCCAAGGGTGCATCCTGCAGGTGGGAGCGGGGCTTCCAAGAAGCTTCAGAGAAGGTGGCCAGAGCCAGCACCAAGATCAGCACATACGCACACAGTCGCTGCATCTTGTCTGCAAAGGAGAGAGGGGTTGAGCTTAAAGGTGGGGCTGTCCAGGCACCCAGAGGCAGGGCCAGGACCCTCCCTGCTGACGAATCTGCAATTCTGCGTGGGGTTGTGGTCTGTTCCTCCAGGTCCTGCCAGATCCTCCCCTAACTCCCAACCTCAAGCCTTGCCCCTTTGCTCCTTACCTACCCTAGTTACAGCGACTGTTTCTCTCAGAGGAATTTAAAACCCAGAACAATGGTTTCTAAACTGTTCTGAAGAATTTGAGGCCATGTGAGCGGTTCCATAATGCTTAAGTCTTGCAACTGAAAGTGAACTTTAAACAGTAATAGGAATGGGATATACACACTCAGCTGCTTAAGTCTTGGAACTGAAAGTGAACTTTTTTTTTTTTTTGCGGTACGCGGGCCTCTCACTGTTGTGGCCCCTCCCGTTGCGGAGCACAGGCTCCGGACATGCAGGCCCAGCGGCCATGGCCCACGGGCCCAGCCACTCCGAGGCATGTGGGATCCTCCCGGACCGGGGCACGAACCCGTGTCCCCTGCAGTGGCAGGCAGACTCTCAACCACTGCGCCACCAGGGAAGCCCTGAAGGTGAACTTTTAAATAGTAATAGGAATGGGATACGCACACTCAGCTGCTCACGCCTCTCTATGCAGCCAACCAGCACATTCACTGTGTAGTGGGGTCACCCTGTTTTTGTGCAGCCTTCGGAGGAAAGGTTCTCCTGCCATTTTCACTTACCTGAGGACTATCCTCTGATGATAATCTAGCAATTAAAAAACAAACAAACAAACTGAAACTGTCACCATTTGCAGCTGTGTGTCAAGGTGAACCAAGTTTGGGGAAACCAGAATACAGAAATAAACCGGACCCTCAAACAAATCTAAAATTTATTGGAAGTAAATAATAAACATCTTGCCTTCGAAGAACACATTTGTATTAATAAATTACTGGTTTCATCTGTTTTCTCTGTTAGATTTCTTTTGGAAGAGAAAGGATTCTGCTGCTAAAGAAACAAACCTGAAAAACCAGTGATCTAGAGTGATGCTGTCCAATATGGTGGCCACCAGCCACATGTGGCTGTTTACATTTAAATTAATAAAAATTAAAAATTCCTGGGACTTCCCTGGCGGCCCAGTGGTTAAGACTCTGTGCTTCCTCTGCAGGGGGCATGGGTTCAATCCCTGGTCGGGGAGCAAAGATCCCACATGCTGGGTGGCCACACACACACAGACACACACACACACACACACACAAATTCCTCTCTTGCACAAGCCCCATTTTTAGTGCACGTGTGGCTGGCAGATACCGTATTGGACAGTGAGGCTGTGGAATGTTACCACCAACATGGAAAGTTCCATGAGACAGTGCTGGTCTAGGAAAGAGCTTGAGATGGGTCTAGGAGCTGTAGGTTCCAGTTCCAACCCTGCCCAATTTGTGTGACTTTGGGCAAGTCACATCTCTCTCTGGGCCTCAGTTTTCTCCCCCGAGAGATGGGAGAATAGTCTTCATCCTCACCCCGCAGGGCTGGGGTGAGCATGGAGTCAGGGGGTCAGGGAAGGGCCCTGGTTGAGGCAGCAGGGCAGCTCGAAGGCAAGGGCTGGGATGCCAGGGTGGGTCCTAGAGCTGAGACCTAACCCAGCTAAGGGCTAAGGGAAGGCTCCCAGACACTGGAGACACTGAAGTGTGAGGCTGCTAACTGGATGAGGGCAGGGGTCCCATTAACCCTCCTCCCAGCTTCTCCCCTCCCTTCCTGGGTGCTCTCACCTGCAGAGTTGGGAGATGCGTGTCGCTGCTGTTGGCCTGGCGCCTCAGTTCTCTGCTCTGCTGGGCGCTCCAGCCTGACTTATAAATCCTCAAGGGCCCTCCCAAGCCCTCCTCCCCCAGGAGGCCAGGCTCCCCACTGCAGAGGAATAAGGATGGGCACAGGTACCTCAGCCCCGCCCCGCCCTGTCATTTAGTCAGCTGTCCAGATGTGGGGGAAGGGAAGGCGAGTTGAACTTCACAGAGAGGGGCAGGAGCAGAGTGGGGGCAATTCTTCAGCTGGGCATATCAGGCGGGAGACAGGCTCCCTGGGCTCAGGACAAAGCCCCCTGCCATGTCCTTGGGGTCTGCAGCCTGGTGATCATTCCTTGGACCAAATCCCAGTTGGATGGACCGAGTGACCTTAGATTCAGGGGAAGCATATTTCCCGACACGTTCATGTTTGAAGAGCAGGGAGTGTGTGAATGTGGAGTGATGTATTGATCCCCTGTCCCCTCTGTTGGGCTCTGCAAACAGGACGTGTCATAGCTATCAGGAGCAATGGGCCGTGGGCTGATGGCCCTGCTCTCTCTGCCTAGTGGCTGCATCCTGGTTGCCTCTGAAGCCCCTTCACCTCCCTTACCTGGAAAACCCTGAGCGTCCCCCTTCTGATGCCTTTGACGCCCTCTGCGCTGGGCTGGGTTTAGCTTGGGGTTCCCCATCATCTCTTGGGTCTGTCCCTCCTCCCCCACCCCTTGCATCCCCCATCAAAGCCAGCTCCTTGAGCTTCCTGGACTTCCAGGCTCCCTCATTTTATTTGCAAAGCAAGACAGTAATCTGCACTTTTCAATATTGAAATACATCTTTAAATGGCTAGCAAAGAGACTAAAGCGTTTGCCCGAATGTACCAGAAAACCAAAGGGTGCGTTTGGTCAACTTATTTGATAAACTGCTGCATCGACCTGGTTTGGGTGGATATAACTAGCTCTAGGCTGTGTTTGATTTTTCCACGGTTGGGGCTAGAGATTTAGCTCTTGTTCATGTGTCATCAGGGCCCCTCCTTGTCTGGGGGAGTTTTGATGCCCCTGGGTATCATAAGGGGCCGTGGTACCCACGCTTACAGCCAGACTTGCTGAAAATGAACAGGTGATGAAAGAAGCAGGCTGTGAAGTGTCCATGGCAACCAGCGGCCAAACGTTCTGGTAAATAACCACTCACAACCGGAGCAGGACTCAGTGACTCAGCAGATGAAATAAATGAAAATGACAAAAACGGGGCAGGCATTGTTGATAATTAATCGAATCACAGAATCTTAGAGATGGAAGGGACTTTGAAGGGCCTTGGGAGAAAAGGTGGGGTGGGGAGCAGCTCTGCTCACGTGCTAGGGGAATAGAGGCGTTTGCGTTGCTGTGGTAACAGGAAATTATAAGCCTACAGCAGAGCCCTGGTTGTATAGGGCCCAGGACTGGATTTCTGCTGAGGAGGGGGTTATGCTCCTTTGGCTGTTCTTCTGCAGGCTGGTTGCTGGAGGGGCGGCCACTGCACAAAACAGAAGCAGGTACTCCCATGCAGTAGGTGATGGTGGAAGACGGCTGCTGCTGGTGGGCGTTGGCGGGCCTGCGGGTGGTGGTGGGGGGGCTCACAGTCACAGAAACTGCATGTTCTCCTCACAAGAGGAGCTAGTCCGATGGCAAAGGGAAGGGTTTCCTGGCTCTGTCCTTTTCCAGTTTGGGGCAGATGGTTGTTTTATCCCCCCAGGGAATGAAGGAAGTAACTTGGAGAGGAGTCTTGAAGATGACGTACATAAAGGAAGCTGCCCAGAATATCGTGGGCACCTAATTTGTTTGCATCTTCTCCCCTTAGCCTCTCTGGGTCTCAGTTAGCCTCATCTGTGAAATGGGAATCACTCATTCCTACCTCACAGGGCTGTGGTGAAGGGGGACTGTGACAAGATCTATGCACACGTTTTGCATACACGGTCCTGAGTTGACATGACTGACCAAGGAGAGCTGGGCCGGAAACTCTGGGACCTGTGAAGATAGGACAGTGCATGGCAAAAGAGATGTTGCACATGCGATTAAGGTTACAAACTTCAAAATAGGAAGTTTACTCTGGATGGTCAGAGTGAGCCCAATTTAATCAGATGAGTCCTTAAAAACAGAGAGCGCTCCTCGGCCAGAGGCAGAAGTGATGTGGCTGAAGGATGAAACAGAGATTTGAAGAATGAGAAGGACCAGCCCTTGCTGGGCTGAAGGCGGGTGAGGGGCAGCGAGATGAGGGATGCAGGTGACCTTAAGGAATGAAGTGGTTCCCCCTGACCACCAGCAAGGAACAGGGATTTCAGCCCCATGACCGCAAAGAACTGAATTCCGCCAACAACCTGGATGAACTTGAACTTGGATTTGTCCCTGGCACCTCCAGAAAGGAATGCAGCCCTGGCAGCACCTTGATCTCGGCCCAGTGGGCCATGCTGTACCTCGACTCCTGACCTACAGAACTGTGAGGGAATGAATTTGCGTTGTTTTAAGCTTCTAAGTTTGTGGTAATTTATTATGGCAACACTAGAAAATGAATTCAAGGAGTTCCAGCCTTTTGAAGGCTTCTGTCAGTGAGAACGGACCCTGAGTGAGTTCGCGGGTGATTTTTCCAGTGCAATTAAGGGAGATGTTTGTCAGGGCATATGACTGTCCATCTAGTCCATTTTTGTTCCAGTTATCGAGCATGTGCTGTAAACCATGGTCTGGATGAGGCCCTGGGGATAAGAGGTGACTGTGACCAGCCCTCTCGTTGCTTTGGTGGAGTTTAGATTCTTGAGGAGGGGGGACACATAAAATAGACAAAAGCGATGGTTCCCTGTCAAGGGGAAAAGCTTCCCTGGACTCCGCTGCCACCACGTCCCCTGCCCCTCGCCCCAGCTACACTCCCTGCTGTCAGGACTGGCCTTGGGAAACCTCTGATGAGCTGCTGTCAGGAAGGCAGTGCCTTGGCTTCCTAATCAGTTATTGATATGGAAAAAGGGAGAGGTTGACGGTGACTCAGTCACCCCGCCCCAGGCAACGGGGCCTTGGAGGGTGTGAAGGTGCTGGGACAAACAGTGACACCTGGGTGCCGTTCCTATCCACATGGGCATCCACGTTCCTCCCAGGGCTGGGGCTGGGGAGAGGGAGGTGGGTTCACAACTTCTAGCCTCACCTGCTCCCCGAAGGTCATAAGGTAGCAGGACCCTGGGGACACAGTGTTGATCGAGAGGGTCTTCA